AGGACAGCTGAATGAGAGAGGCAGATCATTAAAGAGAGAATGAGGGTCCCTAGACATCACTTGTGTTTTAAGAAGCATTGTGTCATCCCCATATTAGTGTGCTTTTTTTTTTTTTTAAAGCCATACACAACTTCTACACAATAAGGAAAAGGATTTGCTTAATGCCAAATACTTGTGGTTTAATCAGGCATTTTTTATTTTATATTCAAAGATAAAATCATTTTCTCCTTAGAGCTTTAATTGTAATGTTTACCATAAGATTAAAAGCCTGTCCATTAAAATTGATCAGCGTAGTTACACTTACTGTCTTTTGAGGTAGCTGCTCTATCCAGGGCTTAGCTAGTTTTGATACGACTTGCTGCACACATCTGGCAAAATCATCTAAAAATTGTTTTCGTGTTAAGACACTGAATGAAGAGATAACATGTGGTTACCGGACCATAGCACAAACCACAGTAAGAGTAATTAGGTGACACGGAAACCAAAACAATGCACTCTCATTTTTCTTGCAACAGTCATAGATCTGATTTTGAGGATTGAAATGTAGATAAATCATTAAAGATATGTTCCCCTATCAGTCCGGCCACATCCAGTAATTTTCAGAGTCAATTTTGATGTTAGGAAAAGGTCAAGTCTGTCAGTTTTAGAACTTGGTGACAGGTCACTGTTGTCTTTTACACTTTCGCTTTTATTTATTGAAAGTATTTTACTATTAAATAGTAATCCTAAATTTATCTTCAACTGTGGAATACACTGGGACAACATCAGTGAATGAAGCATCTCCTTGGTCAGTGATAGCTTTACTCCACCAAGCTCCCTGATTGCTTGAGCTGTTGTTTTTAGAGAGAAACTGACCTGAAACATTGCGTGTATTTGGAGAGATTATGAGAAAGCACACCACGAAGCAATAGGTTCAGCTGTCTTCTTTGGCATCCTTTTCTATGCATATGCATAACTAGCTTTGGGCTTAATAACACTCCTCAGGATGTCACCCTAACTGATACAAGAAATTACAGGAACAGCAGATGAATACCCAAATCAAACCACTGCACACCCAAAAAACATAACCTCCATTTTTACATGCCTTGCTTGTTCATTTTGGTCATGAAACAGAACTAACCTTTTTTCTTATTTCCTTTTTATTAGAACTTACGAGAAAAGTACTCTTCTGCGTTTTATTACCATTATTTTGGGCTTCTCAGATAATTTCTTTTGAGACAATCATTCTCTTTTATTATCACTATAGAATTGAAAACCTATAAGATCATTTCATATATTAGTTTTACAAATCAGATATTAATGCTAATAGACTTAGGATGAAAAGACACGTTGTTCAAAATGAATCATCTTTTTATTGAAGTACTCATGCTCCTGAGTAAAATAGTTTGATCTGTTGTTTTCTTCATGATACATGAAACAAGAACTAAACAATGAAGCTGGGGAGATAGCTCAGTGGTCTAAGCACCTGTCTGGCAAGCTCAAGGACCCGGGTTTGATCCCCAGTACTGGAATACCGAGACTGTGTATCACATAAATAAATAAAAGATGCTTTTAAAAAACTAAACATTGGTACTACTAAATATTTAGTCAAATGCATACTTTTTGTCAAAAATATTACCAATCCTTAATTAGTTCCCAGATGATAAAGTAATCAGTCCCCTTTGGAAATTAATCAGCATCATACATAACTGCAGAAGCTTTACATGTAGTACTTTTTCTACTGGACAGCTTTTCAAGCAATATTTAGTTTCCAAGTCAAGGTTTATAGTAGTCATATAATGTACATTTTATAATTGTTCATGATCAAACAGACTAAAGGAGCAGCTTAAGATTTTGAAATTACAAGAAATTGAGAAATAGTAAAATGTTCACACTGGATATTTTGTGTTATTTTTGCTAGTGTTTTTGTTGAAAAACTTAGTTTTGCTTGAGACTTACCAGTTACATCATCTCATTACCTAATGTAAACAGATAAGTTTTATGGGCTGGGGGTGTTAAGGTTTTTGTCTGCAAAAGCTGAATCCATCTTAACCAACTTATATAGAAACTATATTTAAGAGTAGTACATGCCGTCTCGGAGACACACAGCAAGGACTGTGGCCGTTCATTCAGTAGAGCATCAGGATGGTCTGTTTCTAGAAGTCCCCCCAAAGCCTCATGTAGCTGTGGGGCAGGCTTCTAGAGTGTTTGGATTAACTCATGGTCCAATGCTTGTATTATGGATGTGAGTGCTGCTGGGATTGTGGGTGTGACTGCTACCCCCAGCCTAGGGCTAGCAGCCTGCATACAGTATAAGGGAACAAAACAGGCTTGCTCTCAGCTGCTCCGCCCTTGGTGCTCCTGTTGCTTTTGCTGTTTGTCACCACCATGAACTGCTGCTCTTAGCCGGGCACCACTCTGCCTTGGAGCCAGGTGAGTATGGACTGAAACTTTCACAAACTATGAGGCTCATGGATGTTTTCTTCCTTAATCCTTGGGTAGTTTGTCCCAGCAATGACAGAACATAACTGAGACAGGCTTCTTTCATGAAAACCCACTGCTGCACACGAGGCCACTGGTCTACTAAGAAGCAGACACCAGGTGGGCCAGCCCACTTCCTGGGCCAACAAGTGCCCTTCCGTGGATTTCCATAGACTGGGCCACGATGCTCCACCTGCACAGCAGGCAGACTCAGAAAGCCAAACTACTTGTGCGGAGCATCCAGTATGTATCGGGAACTTAGTTCATCGACCTACCCCTAGCTGCAGAGACCCAGAGGGGCTGTGCACCACCTCTGCCACTCCTGCCCCCTTCCAACCTCTCTGTGGTCTTTGTCCCTCCCTTGGTGACATTTGGCTGAGCTCTCTGACCTCTCAGAAGCCTGTTATTCCCTCTTCGCTGCTTCTCCCTCATCCAGCCCTTGGCCAAGTTAATGAGAAGTTAAGTTCTGTGAACCTGACAAAAGGTTGTCTTTATTATACAACAGAACTGTATCATGGTAGTCAACCATTAGACTCTTTTTAATAAGGAATTTATCAAGACTTATAAGGAATTTACCATAATTTGTGTTTTTGGAACTACTCGGCAGTGCAGGTGGTACATATGCCCGTGTGTGCACAATTCCTTCACAACTGTAAGTTTGCTGGTCCTCTCCTACTAAGCCTGGTCAAATGCCACACTGCTTTAGTTACTGTCATTTTATAATATGGTTGCATGTCTAATAGGTTAAGTTCTGTCAACCTCCTTTTCTCCCTTAATATCTCCTCTGTGATTTCTGATTATTCTTCCTTATTTTTGAATTAACTTTTCATGTTCCATAAACAAGTGAATTGAAAATGTTAGTGGAGGGGCTGGGGAGATGGCTCAGTGGAATAAGCGCTTCCCTGGCAAGCACAAGGGCCTGAGTTCAATCCCTGGTTCCGGAAAAAAAAAGAAAGAAAATGCTAGTGGGTATTGAATTAATAAAATAAATGGAAAAAGCCCCAACAGATTAACATAATTAATATAATTATACTCTCCATTTACCTTGGCCTCTTGTATGCTTTTCAGTAATGTTTGGTAACTTTTTTCAATAAAATGCCTGCCCATTGTTACTTAGTTTAATTTCAACTACTTACCAGATTTGTTTGAGGAATATTTTTGTTTTCTTTGCCTATTTCTTTCTGTTTCTTCTTTTGCTAAATGGAGTGGCTTTTTTCTTGCATATTTGTTGATTTTTGTTGGCATGTTGGAATATTATTGATTTTGTCATGGTTGATAATCTAGAAATCATTTTTTTTTTTTTTTTTTTTTTCAGAACCAGGGATTGAACTCAGACCTTTGCACTTGCCAGGGAAGCGCTTATCCCACTGAGCCATCTCCCCGGCCCCTGAGCTGTCTCCCTGGCCCCTATAATTTTTTTTTTTTTTGTTGTTGCGGAACCAGGGATTGAACTCAGGCCTTTGCGCATGCCAGGGAAGCACTTATTCCACTAAGCCATCTCCCCGGCCCCCTATACATCTTGATTAATTCTTAATTTTTGAGAATTTAGAATCTCTTAGACTACCCAAAATATCCCGATCTGTGGACCGCTGAACACTTTGTTTTTTCCTTTCCATAACTCAGACGACTTTTTCTCTTCCCTTTCCTGGTGGCTGTGCCAGGACTTCCCTGTGGTGCTGCCCAAAAGGAGGGCAGGTACACGTCTTCTGGCTGGCTTGACCCAAGCGGGAGCGCCGTGAAGGGGCGTGCAGCCAGGTGGCTGCACTGTGCCCGAATTCAACCGTTCTCCTAATTTTTTAACTTTTCACAAGTCATTTATATTAAACTATAATTAAAGAATAAACAGAAAATACTTTCCTGCAGGATTTATAAATACAGAAAACCACATTCTTTATCCCCCAGCTCTGACTCTTTGAATGAATTGGTTCTTTTATTTTAAAAAGCAATGCCAGTGTCATCATCAGGGGCCTCAGGATGATGTTGATGAGTCCATAGCACCCAGCAGAGGTCTCAGACTAGGAAAATAACCAATGTTTTCTGTATGAGGGTTGAGTTATTCTTCAGATTTCTAATTCAGCTATCCTTTTAAGACACGCAAAGAACAATTCTTTTTGCTCTACTTTTTACATCTTTGTATAAAGAGACTTATTTAATAAGTAAGTTTTATTTTTCTGTATTTTAGGGAAGGGTTTGCAGGGTGTTCAGGGTCTCACTACTAGATCGAACTCATAGTGATCCACCTGTTTACAGCCTCCCAAATTCTGGGATTACAGGCGCTGTCTCAGCGTGCCCTGGGGGTGGGGCCTGCATGGCAATCCTGGGGATTGATCCCCTGGCTCCTGAGCCTGCTTGCAGGCTCTTCAATCTGCTGAGATTTTTGGCCGGCCTTTGTAAGTAAATTTTAGTCCTGCTTCTCTTTTTCTCTTCAGATTTAGTATCATGAATGGAATTGAAAACCTCAGTCACTGAATGTATTTTCCCTGTTGCAGAACAGCAGTTCTTTTTTTTCACCGGGTGTGCTGTCCATGCTCTTCCTTTAGCCCAGCCTCAGCGCCTGCCGCTGCTGCAGACCTCGGCGCTGGATCCAGGGGAAGAGGAAGCGGACGAGATACAGAAGGAAGGCCGAGCCACGCGGAGCACCGCCAATGGAATCCACCCCGGGGCCCGACGCGCCTCTGCAGACAATCACAAACTTTCAGCTCCTGTTTCTCAAAAAATGCACAGAAAAATCCAGTCCAGTTTATCTGTAAATAATGATATCAGTAAGAAGAGCAAAGTAAATGCTGTCTTTTCTCAGAAGTCCAGCTCTTCACCTGAAGGTAAGTGTAGCCTATTTTATTTGACCAGGTGTAAAATCACATTCACGTAAGAACTTGACCAAGCAACCAGAAACATAAACTTAGGTGAAACGACACGTAACTTCCCCAAAGGAAAGCACAGGATCGAAAAGGAAGACTTGGAAGCTGACAGCCTGCTTTGGGCTTACTGTCTTCCAGAGTGAGAGGTTACACTTTACATGTAGCTCTTACACCTTTCTAATGCCGTACATTAAAATGTGCATGTCCCATTTTGGTGGCACGTCTGCGTACGTGTGCTTTTCCCCTCCTCGCTATGGTATGTTCTTCTGTACTGCAGACGAGACGCAAACTCGTTTGTGTTTGGGTTTTACAAATCAGCCCTTACATATGCACAGCTCCAGCGAGCGATGCCGGGCAGCCCCGCTGCCCCCGCCAGGCCGGGCGATCCGGGATTTGCAGCTCGCCGCCCGGGCCACGCCGCCCCGGCCACGCGCGCCCCACGCCGCCCTTCAGCCCGCTGCTCTCCGCCTGCCCCCAGCCACCTCGGGCTGTGCTCTCCACCCTCCTCCTCCTCCTCGCTGCTTCTCCCTCATCCTGCCCCTGGCCACATTAGAGAGCAGTTAAGTTCTGTGACCCTGAGAAAATGTTTTCTTGATTAGAAAACAAAGCTGTACAATGACACATATCCATCAGACTCTGTTCTACAAGGTTAGTGATACCAAATGAAAGAGAAAAGCCTCCTCCCACTCTTCGGCTCCACGCGTTTCCCAGGGTATCCTAATCTTAGTCCTTTGCTCTTTCTCAACTTCCTGTTACTAGTTCATAGGAATCTAAAACCTTTCAGTGTGTAACATCTTACTCCCTTTTTTTTCTATTGTATGTAGGACAGGATCTACGGGGTCTACAGGGTCTCCCTACGTAGAGCAGACTCGTAATTATTCTCCTGTTTTCAGCCTTCCAAGTGCCGGGATTACAGGTGCGCGCCACCACGCCCAGTCTCAGTCTCAGTGTGCCCAGGGGGTGGGCCAGCACAGCGCACTGGGGATGGAGGATCGAACCTGGGCTGCTGCGCTTTTCCTAAGCAGGCTCTTTAGTCCGCTGAGCTATCAGGCTGACCCTACTTTCCATTTTAATTGTCCAGAAATCTTAAATAGTAGAACTTGTGTGGGATGCCTCTTTGTCTTGGCCATGTCCATCTGCGGAGGTAAATTAAGTTGTAAATAGGAAATTGTATGGAGAGTTACCAGTCATGAGTAGACAGGTGTCTTAAACCCAACTGAGGTGAAGTTTTAGGTTGATCAAATGATATGATAATAAATGGTCTGCGCAGTTCCAGGTCAGTGACACTACTTTTCAAACTAATTAGATTGAAAAGGACATGATTGACATTTTAAAATGAGTTTGACACGTAAGCCACATGGTCATTTCTGAAGTATAGGTAGGCTGTTAACTAAGCTGGCTCTCCAAGGAGTTGAGAAGGAATGCAATTTTCTTTAGAAGATCTTCACTTCTGGGTGATTGGGGGAAAAAACTGAATACAATTGAAATTTACTTGTTTTATACATTACTTCTAATATCCCTAATCCGTTATTTTCCTTTTGATATGTACTTATTTTAATATTAAAGCATGGCGGCTTCTGCATAGGAATCTGATTTGATTCCATTTAGCATTTGGAATTTTTCACTGTTGCCCTCTTTTTCGTATCACAGCTGAATTTATTTCAAATGTAAGAAGGCAACTTCGTAAGGAATATCGGAGGGAGGTGGAAAACCGGCGCCGTGCGGTGAACCGCGTTCGGCGGTTTCTCTTCGCTTCCACTTTGCTGCCCATTCTTGGTCTGGTGTCTTTTTCCTCTTCTGTCCCGTCCCCATTCCTACTTGTGACTGGCCACAGAGAGCCCCATGAGGGAATACCTTACGGCCTACAACAAAATAACGTCTCAGGCTGAGTTGCATGCAGGAAAGACATAAAATAGAGACGAGAAGATCTAGTTGTGCCGTGTAAAGTCCCATCTGCATCTTCGCTGTTAGCCCACAGAACTGGCAAGTTTTGGGATTCTTTTGTGCCTATTTGACTCCAGATTAAAATCTCCTTGTCCTAGTTCATTGTCATGCTTTCTCAGTGGGGGCCTTTATAATGTTTGCTACTTTGCTAGGTCTGTGCCTTAATAGTTTATTTCTTCTGATTTTTCACTGTGGTAGAAGTCCCTTTTGCCTGTATAGAAAACCCAAGCAGACAAACAAATTCACTGGCCTAGTAATTGACAAATTAATAGGGAAATATCAGTCAAGGGACATTGTTTTTCTGGGTCTGCTACACCATTTAGGGTTTTGATGAGATGGTTTGGAAAGTTAAGTTTGACTTGGAGACTGTCGGATTCTCCTTTTGTAGCAAGAGTGCATCCTTCTCAGAAGCCTTGTGCTCTGCATGACGCTCCAATCCTTGCTGTGGGAGCTCTCAAGCATTCCGAGCCCTGTGTGACAGTGGCAGGATGGGCTTTTGTGCACGGGAGTAGGGTCTTCTGTCAGGAGCCCTCGATGTCAGAGCAGTAGGTCTTGAACAGGCTTCGTTTGTTGTGAATAAAAATAGGTAGAAGTACTTCATTTAAAACTCGGTAACTTGGGCCTGGGGAGATAGCACAGTAGAATAAGTGCTTGCCTGCCAAGTGCAAGGTCCTGAGTTCAATCCTTGGTACTGCAAAAAAAAAAAAAACAACAACAACAAAAAAAAAAACCCAAAAAACAACTCAGTAACAACGGGAGCATTTACAATATGGTTGGACTTTTTGAAGGTTCGTGTGTTTTTGTTCCACAGTGCTTTACCTTTGTAACTGTTCTTCATCATTTGTAGCTGTTCTTTATCATTTGTAACTGTTCTCCTGGTGGCAAATGAGAAAGCAAGCCGCAAATGCACACTCTTGAAAGCCTCCACAGCAGCTCACTAAGTCCGCCTCAACTCTCTGTTATTTTCAGTTGCGTGGTGCCCGTGATTGCAAAGTCTGTGATGTTGGCCACTTGAAGGAGATCTGTCTGATTCGGATGATGGAATGAAATATTTAGTTAAGTAACATTTAATCAGTTTCATGGTGATTTCTTATGGGTACTTAGGGTCCTTGCTGACCGAATGTGGAAGATGTTGTTAAACTGTGGGCCTTTGTTTATTTCTAGGTGATGATCAGAGCAGGCCTAAAACTGCATCCAGAGATCAGTGAGATATTTTAATTGGGTTATTAAGGCCTGACTGCAGATGAGTGTTTCTCCTTTGGACTCCCATAGACTCTTTCTAAACCGCATTAGTCTGTGTGGCCTTCGGTATGTCTTTCACAAACTCTTTACCTACTTCTGTCATGTGGACTCATTTAATTCTTCCAGAAGCAGTGAGCTGTGAGCTAGAAAATACTTTTTTTAGGGAAAAAGATGATTTAGCGTCCATTCCGATGTCTTAATGGTGACTCACTGTGGCTTAGGCCAGGCTTAGCTTTGTATGTGTTCACTTTCTTAAAGCTCTTCATGTGAAAAATTTAAAAACAACTCACACTTGTGCTCTGTCTTATGTTTCCTACTAAATTTTTGAATTCCTGAAAATTCTAAACTGGGCCTGAGACCTTCTTGTTTTGAATTTAATTTACTGAAGCATCCAGCTTAATGGCTTCACAGACTTTCCCACGCGACGCTAAGTGATATAATGCTTTATTCTAAGCAGCTAAGCCACCATATCATGCTCTTTTTTTAAAATCAGCACTGGAAAATAAGATATGTACTCCTATTTTCTTAAATATTTTCTTTTCCAAAGTTCTCTTTTTGCAGCATTGGGAAAATACTGCACATCTTACTTAAGGCTTATTAAATTAGTAGATCTCTACTTGCTTTGTGTAAGTCAATATTTTTGTAGATACTTAAATATTCTGATTATATCACATTTTAGACTAAATGTGTAAAGTTCTTGTTTTTTTTTTTTTTGTGGCCAGCACAGCCCACCCTGGTAGTGGGGCTGACGCAGCATGTGGTGCCATGGATTGAACCGCGGGCCTTGCGCTTGCCTAAGCAGGAGCTTTAGACCACTGACCTATCTCGCCAGCCCTAAATGTGTAAAATTCAACCTTTGAAATATTATAGTATTTGGTATCATACAAGATTCAAATTGCCCAGGGCTTTCATTAGGCCCTAAGACACTTTTCTTATCATAGAAATGACAAATTCTAACATGATTTGTATGCTCCAGGTATAGCTAGATATTGTAAAAATTAAGATTCAAGAAAAATATTTTTTAGCACCAGGGAGATAGCACAGCATTCTAAGTGCCTGCCTGGCAAGAACAGGGACCTGGGTTTAATCCTGGGCACCTCATGTTGCTGCAGCCCCACCCTGGGTGGGCAGATAGGCAGAGCCAGTGGCCAAAACTGGGTGTGGTGGCTCATGCCTGTAATCCCAGTGCTAGGGAGACTGAAACAGGAGGATTACTATGAATCCTACCTTCATAGTGAGACCCTGTACCACATATATAAAATTTTAAAAGAAAATCTTTTAAGAAATTGAGTTAATTTTCAGAAGTATTTAGTAGTTAATTTATACTCCATATCTAATAATGTAGATTTATTTAGTCTTTAAAGAGAAATACTCATCTGATTTTAGCCTTTAACTGAACATGAATGCTGAAGGAGACAGTGAAGAGCAGTGTATATGGATGGTAATTGGGTAATCAGTGTATGCTTTTAATCGCATAGAGGCAAGTGTTCCCAGTGGTTAGAACACAGACTCTGGTACCAGCCTGCTTGGGTTCATCTACTGGCTGTATTAACATCTAGCAGTTTATCTGTGGACTGGTTACTCAACCTGTCTGTACTTTAGTGTCTTAGCTTTTAAATGGGGGTGTTATTAGTTCTTACTTCTTTATAGGATTGTTGTAAAAAACTGAGCTGATGCTACCTCATTGTTGCAACCCAGGCCAACCCAAGTGAAATATTCCAGTAAGTCTTAGCCACAGTGATAGCCATCATTATTAAAGAGCACAGAGAGGTCAG